GTAAACAACTTTACATAAGCATGTTCACATTTCTAAAAATATATGTTAATTTGACTAGGAGGATCTATTCTTTTCATACAACTCTGTACAGTATTAACAATGGGATTTCCCCTTTTTTCAGGAAAAAAAATTGATTGCTCACAGTGTGTTTGTTTTTTAAGCACAAGTCCTTGCAGTTTTTCTTGGCAAGATTTCAGAAATAGTTTGCCATTGACTCCTTCTTAGGGGTGAGAGAGAGTGACTGGCCTAAGGTCACCCAATAGAGTTCAGTCTCTTGATTTCTAGCCTGGTGCCATATCCATTACACAAAACTGGCTCTATGAAATTGAGATCCTAATGGAACCTAAATTTTACTGTTTTTTATTTTAAATTCTGATTTAAAGCCACTAAATAATTTTGTGAATTGCTTCCACACTAATTCAAAATTAAAGTGTTTGATAATCTCTTATCAATTTTAACAAAATAGGCCCCCTTTCTATTATGATTACAGGCACAATTCAGAAGGCGGGTTTTTATTTTTAACAACATTCTACAAATTGGGACTCTCATATTAACTAATCCAGACTTTTAGTTTGCTGGTGAGTAACAAAACTGAAAACTTATCAGAAAATAAATGCTAATATAAATATTTTTAAATTCAATCTAAAATAAATTACTGAATGAGAATATTAGAAATTCCATTTGGAATTGATCCAAAGTGTATCAGCACTGCTTGATAACAGAAGTGTATGGAACAGTTTTAAAGCCATAGTTTTCAAAGTGAAAGGGCAGTTCATAAGATAGTTGGGAAAGGAGAAACTATCAGGTATAGAGAGAAAGGAAGAAAAAATGCAAAAAATAAATCTTAACTTTCCTTCAGTTATAAAATCCACTAGACCTACCACTACCAATTGTTGGGATTCAATATAATCAAGTATGCATATTATCCACAGCTACTTCATTGAGATTTCCGGAGCCTTGCTTTTCTAAATATAATTTACCTTCTTGTTTTCATGAAGTGAGCAAAATGATCACATAGATGATGAAAAGACTCTTCGTTCTATTCCTTCACTCCTATCTATGAACTTGTTTTTAATTCTGATGATGGAGTATCAAAAGCCAATCTCTTCCACCACAATCTTAAAGGAAGACTACAGTAAGTTGTTATGTCTACCAATGATACCACTAATCAGGAACAAGGTCACCCAGCATTAAAATGATTAGTCAAGTTTAACTTCCTTCAACATTGTCCACAAATATAGTTTTTTCTTCCCGATAAAGGAAGGCATTATCAGAAAAACTAAATATACAAATGCAACTTCAAATTCATTAGTATTATTCAAGCAGATTTAGTAAAATAAACTTCCAAAGCTTCCAAAGTGAGAGTTTATGCTTAAAAAACAATACAATATTAACAAGGATATTGTTTTCATTTTTTCCTTCTTCTTTCTGTATTATTTATCATGTATTCTATTCATGCCCGCTTCCCAACACAAAGATTTTAGAAAAACGTTCCTATTAGATATTTGTATTATTTAGAAACTAAGAAAGAGCTTTGTTGAATCTAAATAATATTCCAACATTCTAACTTCTAAGTGGTAAATCAGTTACCTGATATTCCTGACTTGATACATTTTGACAAATCTTGAAAAGTATCAACTTATCTTTATTTTAAAAATGGGAAGGATGCCAGTTTGTTGAATAATGCGAGAATTGTTCAGATTTATATATAACACTAGCCCATCTACTACCTTTTCAAACTACAATGTCTAGGTTCATGCAATACATGTTGACTAGTAAACATGAACATGATACATAATGTATCATAGCACAATCAGAATTTATTCATATAATTCCCAACAGTGTCATTAAGTCGCTTTTCCTCAATTTTGTATTGTGAATTAATACCATCTCTCCCATCTTGCAGCCATTGATCATGCTGATAAATATTTAACTATTATTCAACTGGGATGATGTATAAACATAAATACATACTGGTAGGTAAATAAATGTGGCTACAATATATCTAGAAAACATTAGAAGCTGATTGCAATTATATACAATGATCAGTTTAAAAAGGTATTTATAGTTGGAAAACGTAAATTATCTGGTAACTATTGGTATGCCATAATGAACTAAAGTATTCAATTATCTTCTTTAAAAGGCGTTTACTCAAGTCATCTTCTAGAGCTATAGCAACATGAGATCAATGTATCATTAATAAGATTAATAAAACAAGCTCCTGCTTGTGGTGCAATGAACATAAGTAACCTATAGAAGACAATACAATACTCAAATTAAAGCAGCAAGGAATGGTCCAAGCTTTGCTTTTCTATTTGATATGGATTTGGTGTAAATTCTGCTTTGATATATTAACTATCTTTATCATACCAATACAGAATATTTAGCTTTCATTAAAATGTTTTTAAAATCAGTATAGAAACTGCACAAAGTCATACACATCATGTATTAATTTGATTATATTTGAAGGTGACCTCATATAAAAGCCATGATTGTCTATTAAAAGAGCCACTTTCTATTTGCCCTATGTAGATTTTGCTATTCTACTGTAAACTAGCCATTCACCTACAACAGCCATTTTGTGTTTTCTCCTTTTTTATGGTAGCCTTTCTGTGACTGTCACCATAGCAATCTATGATACCTATTCAAAATTACAAATGTCACTGCAGTTGTTTTATTTAGTACTATGGTTATTCTCTGACATCAATGAAGACACCCCTATCCTGCTCATCTTGGCCTCCCAGTATATTCCAATAATTCAATGCTTCTTCTTCTCTGTTGGCCCAGTTCAGTCTTAAATTAACTTGCTCCCGAGGACAGTTATAGATTGCAAACTGATTAGAAAAATAACATATTAAAATAAGAACCAAATAGTTTCTAAAATCTTGATGGAAAATGAAGCCTAGAATACCTGGATTAAATTATGCAACAAAAATAGGAGGAACACTAGCCATAATTGTTCTGAGATCAATACATGTGACTGGAACTATTATATATGCAATTCAGATGTTAATATTGCCCTTCAGGATCAAAATAGCTTTGTTTTCCAAACTACTGCAGGAAATTTTACCCCCATATATGATTTAAATACCAAGCTGAATGAAGTAAATGCAACAGGTTCACAATCCTGCAATCCAAGCAATAATTCATGTACCTACTTATATATAAGCACATTTATCTACTTGTGAGATATTCCAAAACAATGCTAATATTTAATAATTATTAATACTTATAAATATTAATAAAAATGAAATAAATGGTTCAAGATCAATTACAAATCTACCTGACATGTTAAGTGGAATATTAGTTAATATGGACTACACCCCTGTGGTTGTACTGAGATAGCACACTAAAGTACACTTAATAGAAATTTGAGACAAAACTGCATAAAGGCTTCTATATCTGAGAAACCACTATTTATGGAACAACTTCATATGACATTATAGCCATTTTTACTTCACAAACATTTGTGAAGAGGTTTATTACTATGATGTGGCAAAAACTGCCCAACCACAAAAAGCTGTTTCATATATACAACTTTCCAAATGAGACAACTGCCAATGTATTCCTTTTGTTTCAGCATGCTTTGATAGCGCAGTGTCATTTTCTGTCACTGCACTGCTACAACTCCTATACCACTAAATTTTAGGAATGCTTCATATTTTCCTTTTTAGGTATACAAAATAGGTAGGAAATGCGCTATGACTCTGTAAGCACTACTGCTGAATTATATATACATACCGTATAGTCATAATAGGAAAATGGCAATCTTTAATCTTTGCTCTGATAATAAATCCAGTACATTTCCACAGAAATCCAAAGAAGTAACATATGAACCTGCTTTCACATAATTCTTTCTCACAGAATTTGAAGAGCTGGTATGAAACCTTATCATCTCAGTTCATAGATACAAACGCCAAAAGTAAAATTACCAATGTTAGACAGCACATTCAACATATGAATGTATCCTACTCTCAAAATTAAACACAGCTAAAAAGAATTCTAATCTTAGAATCTCTTTTATAAAAAAAAACCATTCCATTAAATTATTTTTGGAGAGAAAAGCAGAATATCAAGCTATTTTAAGTCATCAAAGAAAATATAATAACCAAGAGGAATTTATTATTCTGGCATTTTATACTTAACTTTGGAAGGTACTTTTCATATTTTGTTCTAACCAGAATATATAGAAAAGATGAAAGCCCACCCATTTTTGTGACTTCTGAGTTGGCCTGGAGTTGGTATTTCTTCTAATATGGATGCTCAATTAAGGTAGCACTGGCATGCCCACCTTCCTAGAATAAACCTTTACTTCGTAGTAAAGGGATCTATGATAGCATAGTAAACTGTTTTTTTACCAATTGATGTCCAGCAAGATATGGGGAAAGAAGCACATAAATTGGAGGGGGGGGGGACACCATACAAACCAGATATAATAATTCTCACCTCAGCATTTTCTATCATCTGATTTTTTTCTCTCTCTCTTAGTATCTTCAAGATAGGGTTAAAAATAATTAATGCAGAAAAGGAAAGCCTTCTTTATGGGGCAAAAGGAAAATAAAGTAAAAGGGGTGCCAGCAGCTGCCATAATGAAGACTACCACACAAAAGTCTGACTCAATTAGCTTCATCTCTTATCGAAATATTAACCTTTGCCAGCCATCCTCCTACCACCGCTCCCCCTCCCAGTATGCAGGTTTTTCCTCTTGCTTTTGTTCGCATTTTGTAAAAAATAAAAATAAAGAAAGAAAGAAAAGTAGAGTAAACCGCTCCTGCTCCTCTTTTACCTCACTTCCCACAAGACTTCCCGACCCTATAGGATAGAAAATCCCCACTCGTGGAAGCCAAACGTGAAGAGGGGGGGTCCAGCTGCTACCTTCCCGAGCCGCCTTTCGAGATAGGTTTACTCGGAAGTAGGACGCCCTACTGAATCCCCAGTGAAAAGGCTTCTTTTCGTGGAAACGCGCTTGGGCTTCCAAGACCCCACCGAAATCCACTTACCCTCGAGAAGAAAGGCCGGCTGCCGGATGCTCCCTACGTTTCTACCGCCGCCACCACCGGCCATCTTCGCTCAGGCGCTGATCTCGTTTCACACCATCGCGCCGACCAGTCTTTTTTTTCCCCCCTCCTTCGGTCTGGCCCAAGCGCCGTCTCAGAGGTGGAGGGTACGGCAAGCTAGGCCTCTCCCTTCGGCCTGCGCCCGCCGCCGCCGCCGCCGCCGCCGCCTTGCCTCCTCCGGCCGACTTCCCAGCGACTAGCTGGAGGCGCCGGGTGTGATGGGGGATGGCTGCTCAAGGACCCCTCAGCCAAGCCGGGCCGAGCCGGGCCTACAAAGCGCGAAAGGGAAACGTTGCCGGCTGCCTTCTCTTCACCCGCCTCCTTTTATTGTGTTCGGCGACAGCAGCACTAACAGCTTCTCGGCCGCTCGCGGCAGACGAGAAGAAGAGGCCGCTGCAGTCCCGCCGGCGGGCTCGCTCTGGCCGCTGCGCTGCCTGCCACCCAAAGGCGGGGCGGTAAGGACGAATGAACCCAACCGAGCCAGGCTGCTCCTCGCCGCCGCCACCCTTCCCCACCCCCTCCCGGCTGCGGGCTGTGGCGGCTGTGCGGCGGCCAACGCTTTCCCCTCCTTGCGGCGCTGCCCCCAATCCCTCGGCGGTGCCCCGAGATCAAGCCCCGCCGATCAGTACGCGACCCACCACAGCCTGTGTGCCGGCCTTTTGGGGGGCTCCCTCCTTCCCAGAGGCCAGCCCCACAGAAAAAGAAGGTGTAGCTAATTTGACAACGAACCCAACACCTCTGCCTCCCCCTTCCCCACCCCGCCTCGCACCCATGTTTAAAATGGCCGCAGTTACAAACCAGTGTCCCTGGTTTGTTTCGGCTGCTTTCTTGTCCCCCACCTTTTCTAGAGAAAAGCCCCCCGAAGGAAGGGAGTGAGGGAAAGTTGGGGTCGTTAACTTCGGAATTGTTTGAAGAGTGCATGGTTACAAATGTGTGTGTGTGGTTTAAAAAACCCCTTCTCAAGTCATTAAGGATCAGGGATACATTTTTTGTTTTTAAAATCCAACTCTGTGAATAGCTCATTATTTTTACCATGAATAAACTGGATAGTGTAACGTTTTCCTTGTCCCCCCCCTCCCCCAAGGGAAGGTGTTGGTGTGTTTTCTGATAATATATAAAAATATAATGTATATGTAAAGAAAATTGCTGACAGTTTCAAATGTAAGGTGACCAACACATGCCATAATTGGCCCTGAGGTACATGAATCCTAATTTGGGGGTGATTTCAGTGTAATTGCTGCTGTAGCATCAGTATCTTTCAACTTGCCTTAACCAGGCGTTTTGAGGGGATCTAACCTACCACAGTGGGCCCATAGTATTCCACCACCTCCTATCCCTTGCTTATTAAATTCAAACCACACTTAACTCTGCAAAACATTTGGCCTTTCTATTATATCTTTAAAAGTCATATCTCTTTTATTATTCCCTCCTGTTTATGCATTGGTTGTGATCAACCTTATAAGCAGTTGGATTGGCTTTGACATTCCTTTATTTTTTTAATTTTTGGCAGCTGCCTATAGTTAAGTATTACTATACTTAATAGGAGTTGTAAAAGTAAATAAGTAAAATAATCCTGAAATTCAGCCTTAAATATAGTCAACAAAGGACCCTAATTGTTGCTTCTTTTTCTTCAGTTATACCTTTATGCTTCTAAAATTTATTTAGGAACTTCGTATATATTGCTTTTCCAATATAATTTGTTGCGAATTAAAACAAAAACAAAATGTTCATAAGCAAAATAAACTTTATATCCAAAATAGACAAAGAAAAAGCTAAGATTAATGGAAAATTCCAAAAATAATATTACAGGAACCAAATCATCATACCATAGTAATATAGTATTAGTATTACATAGTAACAATGTTTTTCTTCTTCAGAATAACTTCTGTACTCTCAGGGAAGTTTCATATTGCTGATAATGGCAAGAATAATGCTCACCATCCCCACCTTTTCTTGCCTGGGTAATAATTTCCAAGGACAGTCTCAAAATCTCTTATTCTCTTCACTTTCAACTATAAATTCACCAGATATACAAACTATTATACTTGCCTCTGTGATATTTAACATTAACGAAGATTTTTTTTCAATTCCTATTTTTAATTCATTTTTGTTTTTGACTAATTCATTTTTTTTATTTTTGACTAATGTAGGGATATTCCCTGCACATCTCAAATTGTTAGTGGTTTGCTCTCCAAATTCACTTCCGATGTTTCCTTTCTTCTATCGACTATATTAGTTAAATAAATATGAAAACAATATACTGTATATAGTTGTCTTAGTATCTTCTATATTTAAAACAACAGTATATTTGTAAATTCAATTTTTAGAACAGGTTTCCATGATCAGAAAGAAGGAAGAGGCATAGAAGTGGTACAGCATACCTATTAGGTTTAATACATTCCATATTTTGAACTAAATGACATAGTTAAAGGTCTTGGTATAATTAGTGAAGCAAAGATAAGCTTTCTTGTGTTCTGTAACTCTTTTCATTATTCATCTTACATTAAGTATCTGATCTCACATCTCCCTTTTTTTAAGTGCCTAGTCATTTAGCATTCCGCTCCTCATGTATTCTTCTCCTCTCCTCTAATCTTCATAAAAAGTTGAGCAAAATCTTCTGTGAAAAAATGGTGCAATGGTTCAATAATTTGCACATTCTCCTGCACCTGACATTTTCAAATTAGGTACCTGCAGCAATATTTTCAATTCTTTAACACAATTTGTACCATAATATATGTGCCATCCAGAATTCTTATGGAAAATAGGTCTCCATGTATGCTATATACATATTTGTGTGTGCTTGAGTGTGCATGTATGTGTGTATGGGTTCTAGCTGTAGTTAATTCTTCTTTGAGTAAGGTTGTGTCTTGATTCGCTTCTCCTCAAGAAGCGATCGCTGAAACCACCATATTGGACAATTTTCATCCAGTACCTAATCTCTCCTTTTTGGGGAAGGTAGTTGAGAAGGTGGTTGTGTAACAAACTTTGAGGGCCGTGGAGGAAGTCAATTATCTGGACCTTTTCCACATTGAAAAATTAATGTACCAAAAATAAAGGTAGTTATGTTTGGCAGAAAAATGGAGTGAATGATGGCAAATTATATATAAATGATGAAAAATTACACCAGCTAAATGAATTTGTGTATCTTTGTTGTTCTTTCATCTCGGTGATATTAAGTAACTGATACCAAAAGTTTATAAAATATCCTGAAAGACATAATGGATATTTAGTTGTTAATTTTTTGAGCTATATGTAAGAGATATATAATAGAATAACACATTTAGGAATGTTTTCTCAAAAGTATGTATTAAATAAGTAAGAACAATACATTCTAATTTGCACTACAACTTGCACAGTATTTTGGCTTTGGCCAGGCTACATGATGATGATGTAAATTTCAAAGAATAATTTTTTTATGTGCACAAAGAACAAAAAAAGTGAGAAACAAAAAAAATTACAACTTTCATTTCCTAATCAAAAGTTTACACATACAAAGAATTTGAAAAGACAAATTAATTTTTTAGAACCAAATTAATTTGAGAAATGATTTCTTTTCATTAGGGAGATACTATATGAGAAAAACATATAACAAGATGTTGCCTTTTGAATATCAAATCTGTAAGTTAGAGACACTGATCAGTATTTTCCTGAAATAATAGGCATTAAATAATACTTCAGGTTGAATTAAATTTTAATCTGCAGAAATTTGCTAGTTCGATTCCAGGAATAAATTAAAATATATAACCTGTACAGAACATTACTATATCTATTCTTGTTTAATTGTTCTTAGTTTATTTGAATATTATTGTTTGTGGTGAAATTGCTATGTTAATCTGTTAGTTTTCACAAATATAAAATTGACTCAACAAATGGCAAATAAATGAATTAAGACTAGAGGTTCTATTTTTTAACTAAAGTTGAGGAAATCAATGATAGAACTTTGGTTTAAAGTAATATTTGTGGAATGGAATAATCTAGTAAATGGAATTCCAATGGAACCTTTGGTCCAGCTAAATATAGCCATATAATTTTATTTTGTGCTGTATTCCATCTTCCTGGCTCACATCCCAAACTAATCCCAGGAGGGATACTGGTTCTATGGACATGGGGCCGAGGAGGCGGAATATGGCTATCCTCACCCTTGAGCTTTCTATCAAAGTCCCCATGGATTGGCCTGGTGAGAGACGGCCACCCTGGAAACTTTCGGGGTCGAATGATATGCACCTCCTTAGCCACTGTCGTGAGAGGACAGTGGAGCTTGGCAGCCTGACCATGGACTGGAATTTTCCCTACGCTTATAACATCAGTGGTCCCCCACCCTTGGACTGTTTCCCCTTGATAGCTATATGTATTCGGTGTCGGAACTCCTCGCCCTGCGAGATTCTCCCCTCTCGCAGATTTGGCCCCCCACATTATCGAGGGCCTATCTCGATGACGGACTTTGGAGTCCGGAGAGATGGCATGGAGCAAGGAAGAATTTATGGGGCTTTTTAGGGAAATTTTTAAAGATTTTAAGGGGTTCTGGGGGAGGGGGTTGTAATTATTCTTTTAAAGATATTGGGAAGACGACTAAGGCGGATTGGGGGGGAAATCCACCAGGGTCAGAGCCGTGCCCGGCACAGGGTAACGATCCGGGGGGCACCGGACGAGGGATTGGGAAAGGGATGGGGGACGATATCTATGAGGGCTGTACCATCGGCACGGTGAATGGGAGGGGCAGATATGGCGGAAGCAGGGGACCACATCAGGTGCTGGGGGCTCGCACTTGCTGTCTGAGAGCAATTGCTTGCCCCGGTCCCCAAGGCTCTGCTCGGATACTAGGTGGCTTAGATACTCAGGAGCTGGGCCTTCGGCTGATGCTGTGCAATGCCAGGTCCGTGGTCAATAAGGCCCCCCTCATTCACGATCTTATACAAGAGGGAGGAGCGGACCTGGCGGGTATTACGGAGACCTGGTTGGGCCCGGAGGGTGGCGTCCCTCTGGTTGAAATGTGCCCACCAGGCTTCAGAGCATTCCATCAGCCGAGGGCTCAGGGGAGGGGCGGGGGGGTGGCGGTTATTATTAACGAGGATCTGGGTCCGAGGGAGACCACTGTGCCTCAGATAGCCGGATGTGAGTCCCTCCTTGTGAGGTGGGGCCGTGGGGTTCAGATGGGCTTGTTGCTTACGTACCTGGCTCCCTGCCGCGTGGCAACAGCCCTACCTGAGCTACTCGACGTGATAGCCACGGTGGCAGTAGATACACCCAGGCTTTTAGTCATGGGTGATTTCAACTTGCCATCCGTCGGTGAAACGTCTGAGGTGGCTCGGGAGTTCATGGCTTCCATGACGGCCATGGACCTGACCCAGTTAGTTCATGGCCCTACTCACAGGGGAGGTCACACTCTGGATCTGATTTTTGTCTCTGGCCAGTGGTTGAGTGGTCTTGTTATAGGGGATATAGACATGGAACCCTTGTCATGGTCTGACCACTCACTCCTTCGCCTAGATCTTCGAACCGCGACCCCTCGCCGCAGGGAGGTGGATCCAATTAGATGGATCCGCCCCAGGCGCCTGATGGATCCTGATAGGTTCCAGACGGAGCTTGGGCCATTTCCTGAGGATCTAGCACATGACTCGGCCGAGGACCTGGTAGCCGCCTGGGATCGGGCGGCTGGTGGGGCCTTGGACCGAGTTGTGCCTTTGCGGCCTCTGCCCCGATGCCGATCCCGTGCGGCTC